TAATAGCATCTTTTTCAAAGAGCAATTCGGGTTTAGGAAAGGCTACTCTACCATCCACCAACTCGCACGGGTTACTAACATCATCAAGCGGAATAAGTCCGTTTCCAATACATCTGCCATGGCATTGTTGGACGTCGAGAAGGCGTTCGACAATGTCTGGCATGATGGTCTAGTGTACAAGCTGCATCGATACAACTTTCCGATCTACCTCGTGAAGATCATCAAAAACTACTTGTCGGGCAGATCATTCCAGGTCTTCTTGAACAATGTCCCCTCTGATACGTTCAACGTTGATGCAGGGGTCCCTCAGGGTAGCCTGCTTGGGCCTATCCTATTCAACATTTTCACGTCAGACGTTCCTCCCCTGCCGGGTGGTTGTATCCTGTCACTGTTCGCAGATGACACCTCGATCATCTATAAGGGTCGAGTGATCCGTGCTCTGGTGAGTAAACTACAATCAGGCATGGATGTTCTCTGTCCGACTATTTCAAGAGCTGGAAGATTTGTATCAATGCAGCTAAAACACAAACCATTCTGTTTCCACAGTCGAATTCACCTTGGCTTGTTCCGCCTGCTAACGTTAAGATCCATCTTGATAGCACTCCCATTGAATGGTCGAGTGAAGTAGTCCCCAACAAACAATTGCCTATTGAAGAAACGACTTCTTGACGATTTTATTCCACTTCATGCTTAATAATACTTGTACTATTTTTAATATTAACTTCTATTCAGGCTTTGTTCACACAAATCTGGAGAATTTATTCAACCACAACATCGAAATATTTGGTGTTGAATAAGGTATGTCGAGAAGCTTTTAAACGACTTACAAAAGTTGTAACAGAGCTTCGATCAAATTTTTGATTATTCAGCGTTTATTAGACATAATTACTTCCTTAAACAGCGATGGTATAAAGGTGTATATATATAGACGCTTGATTTTCATGTGAAATAATGTTTAATTAGACACTATTATACATTTATCAAACGATTATTCAACTACTGGATAATTAATCCGAAAATAAGAACGGGACAGAGCAGGGTTATTCTCGTTAGTGATTGTTGTGTTATTACTTCTGTCGTAGCACGCACACACCACGCACCTATAGAACATTTATACACATATCCCAAGTAACAATTTTGGTTTTATGAGGGTTCTGTAGACCATGATTTAGGCTTGTAGAATGCTTTAAAAAACCTTAATAAAACTTGCAATGTTACTTGGGATCGTTGGATAGGATTCGAACCATGACCTCTTGATCACCAGGCGCTTGCCTTGCCATCTGAGCTATCATAGAATACATCATATGAGCAGCTAAATAAGCAATAAAAACTTGAATCTGAAAAAGTATCAGCACTCCTAGCCGTAACTCTAGCTAATTCAAGGAGATGTGAGAATGATTAATTCATTCATAGTTGTTTAACATGAGACCAATGTTACCTCGCCATCTCTTTTATTTCGATGGAAAGGATGCTATTCTTTTCAATAGATCTATGAATTGGTTGTCGTGAGTGATACGATCTATGATTATGATTTAAATTAATTAGCCGTAGAAAATAAATAAAAAAAGGGTTGCGGTTGAGATTGAACTTCCGACCTTCTACTTGGAAAGCGGAAACGGTAACCAGTATGCTACCAATTTCGATTTGTTGTTAGCTTGAAGCAGTGTTGTGGAATAATGAATGAATACGCCGTTTGTAAAGCATTTACAAAGCATGATATTAAAACATGGACGCATAGTGGTATAAGAGCTATTTTGCTGACTGTATTCACCTTTAGCAATACAATGGACTCTAATAAAGGAGCTAGAAAACATTTATAAGACGTCTAATAAAGCATTTTATTAAATCAATTGAATTAAAGCTACAATGTATGTGCAAATTACACTTATTCAGTTTGTTACTAAATCAAACTTCTGGTTCTGAATCAGGAAGACAGTCAACGTTTATGCAGCTTTTAATAAGTAAATTAATCATATCAGAGCAAGCAGCTTTTTTCAGCACATAATTCGACATCCTGTTTTATTCAGCATTGTACACTGTAATACAGCATTTATTCATTGTGTATGCTTATTTGTGACTTTGCATTGTTTGTTGGGTCTACCTTGGTCTCACCCTCGATAACAAATTGCTATTCCGATCCCATGTGGACAAGACATCCACCAAGTGTAACATCTTGATCAGGTCGCTCTACCCTCTGATACACAGGAAGAACACCCTGTCCCTCAAAAACAAGCTTGCTGTCCACAAGCAGACCATTCTCCCGGCTATTGAGTATGGTATGCCAATCTGGGAGAGTTGCGCTAAGTGCCACCACCTAAAGCTTCAGAGGATCCAAAACAAGATCCTCAGAATGATCCTTAATAGTCCACCGCGAACTCGTAATTCTGAGATTCACCAGCTGGCCGATTTTCAAACACTCGAGAAGCGAAAGACGTCCACGCTGGAAAGGTTCAGAGTCGCCTGTCTGCCATCGAACCACCAGATCATTCGTGATTCATCCGACAAATAAAATAATTGTTAACAAGCTATTGGCGTTGACGACACCGTCGATAAATCGTCTCTTCCTGCAAATATAGACAGATTTTAATGGGAATTTTCGGTGCAGTGAAAGGATAGTACGAAGTCCGTCATGTTTCACACACAGTCTGACGTTTGCTTATGGATTTTCTCATAGGAGTAAAGAGCAACAGAGTCGCTGTCAACGCCAATAACGTTCCTTCGCACGTGTAAATCGATTGCGTCGTTAACAAATGTGTACTCACAGGGAGAGGTTAGAGTCGGTGTATAATGAGTCACGCCAAGAGAAAAACAGTTAAACTCGCATCACGGTTTTCGGAAGATTCCCATTCTTTTCACTTGGCAACAGAGGAATTCTACAACAACTTCAAATGACTTCTAGCAAGAGAAAAAAATATTGCGGTTGTAGTAAATCATTATATCAGTGATTTTGTCAAATTATCTTAACAAAAAATAGTAGAAATTCTCATTACTAATCATTACCGAGCGTATCCCATGACAATTTAACGCTCACTGCGTGTTTATGCTCATTTCTTCGATTATATTTTATATTTTATTGCAATACCTTTCGTGGACCTTTCATAGCATCGTAATGTTTATTTATTTTGCACGATAGGTAGCCGGTTTGACAGTTCAATAGGTAGACTTGGCTTCACTCTTGGCGTGACTCATTATACACCGACTCTAGGAGAGGTTACTTCCTGTGCAGCTGCATTTTTGTGGTCATGTTTAAAGTGTCAAAAGAATAACAAACTGTTAGTACGAATGAATAATCGAAATTCAGCTGCTCCGAAATTAACTATAGTTTTAGTTAAAAATTTGAAAGAAACAAAAATCTGTGTATAATAGACAAATCAAATGAGCAGTTGATGAGTGCCTTGGAATGCAATGATATAATATTGATTACGTTAAGGTGGCATACACATAATTCAATTGATTCTTCCAGCTCCTTTATCGGTAAGCCACCATTATCAATCAGGAGTGAAAAGTCGGAAAAGAAATCAAAATTACAATATGAAGATCTTGATTGCTGATACATCAAAAACCCATAATACACAATGAAAGTCAGATTTTTGATTTACTATCGAGGATTCACAATACTTCATCCATAGACAAACAGAAATAACACATTGAATATTAATCACCGTAAAACATTACTGCCATCTGTTGAGTACACTGTGGTGTATAGTACGCTAAACAGATGGCGGTAGTGTTTAAACGTCAAATGCAAGGAAATTAACTTTGTGCGCCACATTCGATACTTTTAAATTGACCGTTAAATGCTTGTTCCATGAACAGCTTGTGAGTATTATGTCTGTTTGTCTGTGCTTCATCCATTAGTTCCAAAGTATATCATACAATTTGTACTACATATCGTGTAGGTATTAAGTCATGGTTCACTCAGTAAATGCTTTTAGTTGCAGAACGGCTTGAACGGAGAAAAATGGGATTGTGCTTCTTATTTTAGCCTTTATAAGCTGATCTGCAGCTTAAATTTTTCGTTGGATAGTAATAAAGTTTATTATTTGTATTATAACGGGTGTTCAATAAAAAAATGAGAATGATTTCAGTGCCGTCCAGCGCTCTTGTGAGAGCATCGCGACTAAGTTGCGTCGTATGGCTGACCAGGGCCCCTTCTCCAATATTCAATGACGTTTTTTTGAAGAATAAACATTATGTTTTTAATAAAAAATACTTAATTCGTTGAAAACAATTTTTTATACTAGCTATATGACTGAAAAAATTCTCATTTTTTATTGAACACCCGTTTATCAAGAACCCGATAATTTATCACAACTTGTTGTTATTTTCCACTGAAATCTTTAAAGATCCTGACGATTATTTTAAGACCACTTAGACCAACTTTGAGTAATATTGAGTATGTCTATATTACTCGGAGTAAATATATTTTCTCTGAGCACAGCCTGTTTTCCCCTGCCTAGGAAAACTTTTAACATGCTGGTGATTATGGGGAAATGGTTGTATATTCAATAAATGTTCATTTTGACCTTTTTTTCCCTTGATTTGTTTTCCGTGCTGAGCACCAATGCTACCGACGCCAGAGAGGCAGCTTCCACACCTATCGACTCATCAACTCATGAACCGGGGACTAACGGCTTTACTTCCCTTCCGAAGGAAGGCGTGATCAGAGATGTGATGCCTCAGAACATCCTGGCGGTGCCGACTGGGATTGAATCCAGGCCTGCTGGGGTGAGAAGTTATCACGCTTACCGCGTGTTTTCCTCGACCGAACCGGGAATCGAACCCACTGGCTTGGTAATTCCGGACCATTACTGATTAGTGCACCGAACAGTACAATGATAACTGATATTCGGCCATTTCCCATCTAAGAAGTGGCTGACAAGATAGTTGAGCGAAATTTTGTGTTTGAAATGCTTGATATTTGAGACCCGCGAAACTAGTCTCACTGGGGTTTATTTATTGTCATCATCAAATAACTTGTATCCCGTAGCTCTGTTTAATCGTTTGACTTTATTGATTCATTGCATATTTACATTATCAATATATTATTAGCCTATTCAACCAGTTTAGATCCAACCAATTATTCGGTAGAAGTGACTTGCCACTCGATGAATTGTCCAATAAGAACAGGATCAGTTCCTGTCGCAAATTGATCCAAAACGCATCTGAAAGTTTGTTTAGGCGAGACTGATTTCGCAAACAAACTGTCAAATCTGGCTGAACTTTAACAACTGGTGCTCATTCTATCGATGGATGCGTTTTGCTACACTGCTCTATATTCGTTTCAAACAGCTAACATTAAAGTCGAGTTAGATTTTTTTTTACAATATTTTAAAGAAAAAAAAAAACAAATATCATCTATAAATCAGTCCTATTCAACCCTAACACGAACTTAGGGAATGTATTTAAGTACGTACTTACAAACTGCACTAAGGAGTGTACTGTATGGTCACCAACAAAGATCTTATATATTGTATGTATTCAATAGGAAGAGAGAGTTGAAGTACCTTTAAAAAATACGTTGATACTAGATTCGCTTTTAGGTTCCAGTTTGATTTTAATAAATAAGTTTGGCCTTTCCCGCAACTACCACGGTCCTATATGATACATATGTTCACTAATTTTCCTATAACTGCATAGAGGCATAGCAGGATGAAATTCTAAGCTCGTCGCTTTTTAAACTAATATTTACAAAAAAAAAAAAAATCAACAAATTGCTTTTTCTCAAATTAAGACCCGAAGAGAAAAGTCTAGCTAAAAATTCGGTTCACTGTGTTTAAAGCTCTGTAGAATATTCTTCGGAGTTGACAGAAAATTTGCGCCAACAGATATGATCCGGTTGACCATTGCTGATGTAGATATCACGGTTGTATCCCTCCTCCGGGTAGGGGTTCTTTGAATGGCCATTTTGGTTCAGGTTCTGTGGCTTCGTTGCCTGTTGGTTCGTCTTAGGGACGATGTGATGCACCGGCACCGGTGGAGCCAGGTGGTTATGGTTGTTTTTGAAATTTTGAGCTGCATCCGCCTTGGCCAGTGGATTGCGTACGATTGCACCTCGGTAGGCATGGTCATCGGCCATAATTTCGATTCGAGACGTGAAGCTATTGTCGGAGGTTTTCCTGGAGCTGATCAGCCCAGCTTGGCTTCGTTCGCTTGGTGTTCGTTTGTCAGTAGTGTGGGAAGATTTCCGCGAACTGGAGGAAGTGTGCGGCGACTTGTCATTGTTGGAATCGACGCTGTATACCGAGTGTTGTTGCTTGTACTGTGGGAATTTGTCTACACTGATGTCCTCTTCGATGGCAGAGTCCCCGAAGACGGACCCACTGTAGTTGGGTGAGTTGCTACCGGCGGTTGAAAGATTCTTATTGGATGATCCATACTTGTTAGAGTGAGAATACTGGCCCTTTTTTATGGAGTTGGTGTAGTCCTTGGTACCGCGCCGCCTCAGTGTGAAGTCTCGTTCTCCGGTATCTTCACAGACCGACTTCCATTGTTTCCAAGCATGCCGAACCAACGGATCAGCAGGTCCCCAATCTTTCGAGGGCTTTGTAGCCCCATGGATCATGCTGAGTATGTTGTAATCTACCTGTTTGCTGATCTCCACGCATGCCAGGAGCATAATGACACCCAAACTGAATACCACCGGCAACCACTTGGGGAAGTAATCGATCAACAGGTCGTTATCGAAGTATGTAATGGTCCACCAGGACAGGATCGCTATCAATAGCACCGGAATGATCCCCCAGATAAACAGCCATGCTTTTAGCACGGGTCGCCCAAGCGAGAACTCCAGATCCGTGTACAAATTTTTCGATCCATACACCCATATTATCAGAATGATTTCGAAAATCATCGCACAAACGATCAACGATCCAATGATTCGTGTGTCGAGTATCCGCGGGAAGATGTAGTTCGGGCACAATAGTCCAGCTATTGCGACAACTAGGCCAGCTAGACACACGGTATAGTTTGGATGTTTCCGAATCATGCGAGTCGAGGTGTAGATGTAGATCGTTACGGACACGATCGAGGAGATGAACAGTAGCCCATAAGCTAGGGCGGGGATCACTCGCTGAATGAGCTGATCCAGTTCGTGAACCGTTACGGCCCTGTCGTAAATGGCTGTCAGCGGTGTCAGCTCCGGATACAGCAGATGGGGGTCATTCGCAGTGTTGTGGAATTGAAATACGTAGAAGACCACGGCGATCGTAGTGATGAGGATGTTGAAGAATATGTAGACGAAAGATGTTCTGAAAATGAATGGAGCATATTTGTTAGGTAGATTCTTAAAAAGACTAGAGATCAATTACTTTATGGCATCTCCTTTGTACAGAAACTTCCCGGTAATGACCGGTATGGCTCCGATGCCAATGTTTAGCGAGTAGATGACTTGCACTAGTGCGTTGAACCACAGTGTGCTATCAGCGAATGATTCCGGATAAAATGGCCACAGCCCAGGTAGGTACTCGTCGTTGATGGCTTTCGTTACTTCCCAGCCCGTTTCAAAGATCAGCAATATCAACGCCAAAAATCCAAATAGATATATTGATCGTCGGTTGATTTTCGCACTGTGTGTGCTGAAATGACATTTGATTGAAAATTCAAACTAGCAGGAGAAAGTGATTCCACACTTACCACACCATCGAAATGACCCATAAAAGAATCAAACTCAACGCTAGCAGTCCGAAGTAGAGGGAACTTCGCCACACTGGACGTAGAAATGTTAGTCTGCAAGAAAGGAAATATTTTCGAAATCATGCATACGTACTGGCATCGAATATTAATTACACACTTACTTCAAACACTCCTGTCCGCTATTGGGTTCCACATCGTAGCCGTCCTGCGGGGCAAAAACCACGAAGAAAAAAAAAACGTAAATAAATGACAAATCGGACATGGGAGATAAAAAACTGAAATTCATGAGCCAACAAAACAAAGACTCAAACTTCGAATGACTCACATGAATGGACTGCTGGTTGATCGTTACGGCCTTATTACACTCTCTAAATGGCACAGATTTGAATGACAACATTCCGACGTACAGTAGCGCAATCACCGAATGCATCGAGGTCCAGATCGCCGCCAGCCAAGAGGCGATTCGTCCGACCAAGCTGGCACCTGTGGGAGGAGAAGAATGAGGGAGGAATATTTTAGAGCAGCGTTTATCAATCTATGGGTCATTCGTGACCCACTGCACAGTGGTTCAGAATGCAGATTTAGGTGGAATGATATGTTTTGAGCCTGAAATTGAAACTTTAGACTTAAAGTCTCTTTTACAAAATTGTTCCTTATAATTAGGCCCTCATTTTTATGACAATGAATTCTAGGGTTATCATTAAAATCAGAAGTCTAACTTTTTGTTTGAATAAATTTTGGTATATATTCTTCGGCAAAGTTATAGCTGAGCTAATTTTAAGCAATTTGTTGCAAATAACTTTTTTGTATCTCATAAATTGGCCGATTTAGAGCTATTTTCTGGAATTGAGTTAGGGTGGCTCTTAAAAAACTAGTTGTTTTGCTCTAGTTTTCTTATTTAGAATTTCTCAGCAACAGGGTTACTTCCACTCACTTGCTATAAAAAAATGTTTTTCAGAATTATGAAATCATGAGATGGTATAGTGATAATTAGTACTTGTAAGTTACAAGATGAGGACGTGAAGTATGTGTTTGACACATAAAATTTGTCAATGCTGCTTTCAATGCGTCATAATCAGCGATTTTACGACTCGTGAGTGCTCACTCTGAGTGAACGCTCACGAATCATAAGATCGCTTATTGTGACGCTCTGAAAGCGAAATTGACAGGTTTTATGAGTCAAACACATACTTTACACCCTCTTCTCGTTACTTACTAGTACAACATATCATTATATCATCTAATGTTTGCATAATTCCGAAAAATATGTTTTTATAGCAAGTGAGTAGAAGCAACCCTGCTCAGCAAAGGTGTCTTCAAATTACTTTTAGATCTTAAAAAGGCGCAAATTTTTGCTGCACAAAGCTTGTCAATATCATTCGCCGATCAAGAGTTATTGACGTTTTTATACTAAAAATATGCACTTTTCAAATGTTAATATCTCTGGTTAGGACAAACAAAAAAAAAAAGTTATTTTACGGCGTATGTTATTCTCAATAATCAGGGTTACTTCCACTCACTTGCTATAAAAAAAAATGTTTATCCAAATTATGAAAACAGTAGATGTTCTAATGATAATTAGTACTTGTAAGTTACAAGAAAAGGTCGTGTAGTATGTATTTGACGCATAAAACCTGTCAATATTGCTTTCAGTGCGTCACAAGCAGCGATTTAACGATTTGTGAGCGCTCACTCTGAGTGAACGCTCGCGAATCATAAGAACGCTGATTGTGACGCTCTGAAAGCGAAATTAACAGGTTTTATGAGTCAAACACATACTTTACACCCTCTTCTTGTTACTTACGAGTACAACATATCATTATATCATCTGATGATTTCATAATTCCGATAAAAATTGTTTTATAGCAAGTGAGTGGAAGCAACCCTGTACAATAATTTGAAAAAAAATTGAGGTATATTATTTTTTTTTTTAACTCGTATAAAATCAATTTAAAATTATTCAAATTTCTAATCAAAGTCATCTTCTAGAGACTTTTAAAACTCTTTAAGATGAATGTTTTATAGCTGAATTTGTTGCCTGTATCTCTTCTAATAAAAAAGATATGGCCAAATATAGTAAAAATATTAATAAATTCAAATTGATTTAATACGAGTTTAAAAAATAACATACCTCCAATTTTTTCATATTATTGAGAATAATATACGCTCTTTCAAATGCCGTAAAAAAAATTTTTTTTTGTTTCCCCCAACCAGAGATATTAACATTTGAAAAGTGCATATTATTAGTATAAAAACGTCAATAACTCTTCATCGGCGAAAGATATTGACAAGCTTTGTGCAGCAAAAATTTGCGCCTTTTTAAGATCTAAAAGTAATTTAAAGACACCTTTGCTGAGAAATGCGAAATAAGAAAACTAAAGCAAAACAACTGTTTTTTTTAAGAGCCACCCTAACTCAATTCAAGAACATAGCTCTAAATTGGCCAATTTAAGGGATACAAAAAAATTATTTCCAACAAAGTTGTTTGAAATTAGCTCAGCTATAACTTTTCCCAAGAATGTATACCTTAATTTATTCAAACAAAAAAGTTAGATTTTTGATTTTAATGATAATAGGAACCAACCACCCTAGAATTCATTGTCATAAAAATGAGGGCCTAACTATAAGGAACAACTTTGTACAAGAGACTTTTAGTCTTAAGTTTCAATTTTAGGCTCAAAACATATCATTCCACCTAAATCTGCATTCTGGACCACTGTGCACTGGTAGTCGCAGGTATGCAGACAACTTAACCATATTCTCGATTACTTTTTCGAATGGGCGTATCAGCTTTTGTAAACAATGCATTTGATCGTCGGTTTGGCGTAACTGGTATGTAGCTCGTCCACGCATACCACGCACCACTATCAGATAGGGGAACATTTCCGTTATCTGATGGAAGTGTTAGCATGTGTAGGGGAGCTACCAGTTACGTCAAATCGACGATCAAATACATGTTTACAAAATCTGATACGTCCCTGCGAAAAAATAATCAAAATATGCATTTTTTTTATAAAATTTATGCAACATTAAATCTTCTCGGAATAATGAAAATTTAGCTTGATTTGAGTTACTGTTTTAATTTGCTTCTAAATTAAATATTATTAAATCGTTTATAAATTTTTATGAAATTGAAAGAAAGCATTTTAATGCTTTTATATTACCATTGGCGGGGGAGGACACACCCCTCACCATGCCTCTCTAAAGGGGGAGTTTGGTAAAGAGAGATGAAAAAACCGATTTGTACCTTCCTTTAAATTTGTCCTAGCTCGCTATCTACTATCTATATGCAATTTTCACACTGCCGTACTATAACGGAACTATCAAATCTAGACTTTCATCTCCTCCATCTATCGTATAAAAATCACTTTAGCCTGTTATTTGAAATTAGCATCTTCAACTATGTAAATCGTTGACTTCACGCAGAAGTAATACTAATCATATAGTCAAAGTGGCATATACTGTCAAATATACTTCAATATGAGTATTTTTGGAATTGGGATGACCGGAAATCAATGTCTGACGCCATTCTGAAATCCAAGATGGTGGCTTTCGGTTGTAGGAAAACTGGGAAATACTATCAAACAGGCGATCAAGACTAACCGACGTCAACCTGGTTAACGTGTTGTTTGTAAAATTGAATGCTTATCTTTTCAACTAGAGTAATGAGATAAGATCGATGACAACGGATATTTGACCACTAATATTTGATATATAATAAAGACGACAATTAACAATACATCCACAAATAGAGAACTTTCAGTCAATATGACACTCCAATTCCGAAAATACCCATGTCAAAGGATGTTGCACAGTATTTCTTTATATTTCCGGTCTCTACGTCGTTCCGATTCCAAAAATACATCTTTCTATATATCCGGTCTCTACGTCGTTCAGATTCTATAAATACCCATACTGAAGGGCATTTGACAGAATTTCCTAGTTTTTTTGCAACCGGAAGCCGCCACATTGGATTTCAAGATGGCATCTGACATTGATTTCCGGTCTCTAGACGTCATCCCGATTCCAAAAATACCATCATTGAAGGGTATTTGACAGTATTTCCCAGTTTTTTTTTAATCCTGAAACCGCCATATTGGATTTCAAGATGTCGTCTGCCAATGATATCAGGTCTGTATAAGTCTTCCAGATTCCGAAAATACCCATGTTGAAGGGTATTTACTAGTATTTCCCAGTTTTTTTTTAATAACCGGAAGCCGCCATCTTGGATTTCAATATGGCGTCAGAAATTGATATCCGGTATATATACGTCATCCTGATTCCAAATATTCCCATATTGAAGGATATTTGATAGTATTTCCCAGTTTTCCAAATGGAGTCAGAAATTGACTTTATCCTGATTCCGAAAATACCCATATTGAAAGGTATTTGACAGTGTTTCAATTTTTTCTATAACCGGAAGCCGCCATCTTGGATTTCAAGATGGCGTTGGTTGACGATTTCCGGTCTCCACGTCACCCCGATTCTGGAAATACCCACATTGCGTAATACATTTGAATTCACAGTTTTTCTGTATTCAAAAATCGCTATTTAGACTTGACACCACCGACAAACCGACATGAAACTGAAACTTAACTCTTGATCGAGAATCCACAGCGGCCAATTCAAATGTACAGCGATCCCATCTGTCAAAACCATAGAAATGTTTTATCTAGATAAAAATAATTTGTCCAAAAATAGATTAGACACGAACCAACTCGTAAATTTTGTAGGCGTGTTCGTGGCTAGGATAAATAATTTCCGCGAATACTGCGGCAGATGTCAGTTTTGAGCTTTGATCAGAAATTTCTTTGTAATTTGTATGATCATTCATGTCGGTTTGTCGGTGTTGACACTGTATAATGTTATTCATAAAATACAAATTCTGTTAAGCTATCTGCCATCACTGGCAAATCTGAATAATGCGCACCACGCACATAAACATACAACAGTACCGGATCGGTTCTTGAATTCAAAACATCATCCTGGTGAACACGAATACCGGTACTGGAAAATCAGAACCACACCGTGTGCAGCGAACTGGTGAACACGGTGCGGTGTTGCTTGCAACTACCAAACCGAACCGACAGCAGCACTAAACACTCGGTACAACGGATCAGCACATTGGTTATGATTTAGAAATCCGTACCGGTGTTTTTCCCATCACTGAAGTTTAGTAACTGACAACATTTGGTTGTCCAACTAATCATGGCACTCACTTTGTTTGTGAGAAATTTTAAATAGATATTGTTTAGTAAAATTATTATTATTATTATTTATCTTTATTAGGGAGGCTTTCAGCCTTGGGCTGGTTCGCCTCCATTGTTTAGTAAAACTACTATGGCATGAATAATTATATTCTCGTGCAACATGCCTTCGATCCGTCATAAAGAAGTTTTGTAAGCAACAATGCGTACATTTAATTATCAGAGTGTTATTTAAAAGTATTTCAACTAGTTATAAGACATCCTGCACCTTTTCAG